ATTCATTTCCTTTTCTTTCTTTCTGCATGTGTCTCATTTTCTCAACTGTGCCTATGTTTTAAATATACAAGAATTAAAAAGTGCCTGCTATGAGAACTGTAAAATCTATACTCAATGTTATATTATCTCCTTTGTCTACAGAATTGTTAACGTCTTTAGTATATGCCATAAAATGTGTTTGTACATGAGATTTGTGCAGAGTGGAGTTATGAACATGGCATGTGCTTGCTTTGTTAATCTGAAGATGTTAATACTATACATAATGAAAACAGCTCTTGGTGGTTAGTCTATGCTCGAGGGGTTCAGTGGGAGTCCATCTCTTAAAAGAAAAAAGTAGATGAGTAAGGGATTGAAAGATGATACAAAGGTAAAATAAGCACAGAAAAGAACTTCACCATGGGGGGGGAATAGTGTTAAAAATATTTTACTTTAGCCACATTAAACATCAAAGTTCAAGAGCTCAACTTCTTGGGGAAGCATATGTCAGGGGCACAGCAAGAACAGGCTGCTTGGTGCAGCCCTGGGGAGCAGTGCCTTGTACCAGGACTGGGAGATCCCCTCCAGCAGACATGCAGAGCAGTATTGCCAGGTCCCAGCAGGAGCTGCGTTTAGCTCTCTTAAGACCCAATCTTGCAAACACTTATGCACATGAGTAATTTCAGCTGCCACAAATCAGGTTATTCACCTGGCTTAAGTTTTTGCAAGGCTGGTGCAACATTAGGCCAATGTTTGTAAATGCTAGCCAACAGGATAAAATGGAAGAAACTGCCTTTGCCTCATCTAAGCAGCTTGGGGTTCACCGTATTTTTATTTCCCAAATTTGACTGGGAAAGGTTACAGCTGCAAATATTTAATTCTTGAATTTTACAGTTTCTTTAATAAACGAACCATTGCAACCATTATCAAGTATAGGTAAAAAAATCATACAGTTCAGGAGTGGCCTGTGATTTTAAGAACTTCTAACATTTCACTGTCATTTCTGTTACCAGTTAGGGCCCTTTTTAGACACCAGTGGTTTTGTCATGCCTCTCAAATTGTGGATAAAGCCAAATGAAGGGAACAGAAGACATCAATAATTCTCAGCTTACTAACGTCTTCATACTTTTCTGCATTTCATTTGTTTGTATCTGATCTGTTCAATTTGTAAGATCTGGAGAAAACTGAATCTTCTAACAGATTTGTATTTAGTAAGTACGAGTATTATTCTGTTATAATACGGATCACTGACCAATGTCTGGTGTTTGTGATTTTCTAGTTGCATTGCTCCAGAACATGCAGGTTTATGACTTAATATGTGATCTCTGTGAGCTGGAAAGACTCAGAACATATGGCAGATCAGATGTTAGGCTTGGGGAAAATCAAAAATTAAACTGTCTCCAAGCAGTTGAGAGACTGCTTTGCTATATATTTTATGTGATTTGTGTGTGTGTGTTGAGGGAGATGTCACCTAGGGAAGGGAACTGAAGAAAAAAATAGCTTTAAAAATGAACTGTTTGTATTATGGCTCTAAACATTAAAGTCTGGTCAGCTATAAGCACATGTTGTGAACTAAGATGGAAACTTGCCTGAGGTCAGAATTGAAGAAAGCGCTCTCTAATGCCTCTCCTTACCAAGGAGTAAAAAATGCTTTCTGGTCTTGGAATTTATTATAAGCACAAAATGAATGCTTATTGTATGCTTATAAATACAACCATTTTCCCACTTTTATTCCAATTACTGAGTAACATTGGCGGCTTTAGAACTGAGTTTCAGACAATGGGTTCATAAGCAATCCTGACTGCATTCTATGCTCTTTATCATAAAATCTTTTGTTGTTCTGTGCTGGCCAAGATTCTGTCATGTTGGAAATAGGAATGAAGTGCTTTTTACCCTTGGCTGTCTGCCCAGTAATTAGACTGGGAGGTGGATTAAAGCATCCAAACATGTGGTGTAAATTTGGGGATACTGTACTATGACAAGTTCTGATGAGAGACTTTTTAAGGTTAAGAATAATAAAGACCTCATATATGTTGAATTGCAAAAATTATCATAACCTTTATTGCATTCTTTTAATTGACCTAGGCTTGAACAACCTGAAGGAATACACTTACATTAAGTAAACATACAATGTCTAAGAATTTGAAATGCAAAGTTAAAAATCAGTATTTTCCAGGAAGAAAAACAAAAGTTGATTAAATAAAAATTATTTATGTTAAAATCAATCAATATTTGAGAAAATCTGTCTCCTTTTCATCTATTTATGTATGAGGAAATACATATTTACACTAGCTGCCTCTATAGTATTTGTTGAATGGCACGAAGCTTTGAACCAGCTTAAAACTTAGTCTTTCTGAGACAGTTCTGCTATTTATTTTATATTTAATAGTTCACAAGCTTTGCTCTAATGGCAAGTCCAGAACTGTAAGTGGAAATAAAAAAATAAAGCAACCTACTTCTTCATTTTACAGCATTTTATGTGGTATTGTTTCAATTCATATGAACTGGAGTTTTGTTGCTCGAGTTTAGCAGCAAGGAAGAAAATACTTTCAGAAACCCACTAGAATGTACTTTTAAGGATAGATATGTTCAGTATATTTATTTCCTTTCTGCAGGAATCCCTTTGATAATGCAGTCATACGGCACAGGAATGAGCCACCTCACCTGATTTATACCACGGGAAGAGTAGGGACTTTTAGAGTAATACCCCCCCAAAAAATCCATGTTTGGACAAACTCTAAATTTGGCACCAGTGGAGTCCCTCCACATTCCTTTCTTACCGTTTTAAGGAGAATTTAGCCCTTCCCCATGTGTTTCAGCACTCACGAGTGCAGTTGGTCCGTCAGGTGCTACAGCCGTCCCTCACCTCAGAGGAAAGGCGGCCGGCGCGGAGCGGGCCTGCGTCCTCCATTTCGTGACACCGGGAGCCCACAGACCCCGACCGGCTCCTGCGAGCAGTGGAGGGCGAGCGCTGCCAGGGAACGATCGCCACGGGTGGCATCTCCCGCTCGCCTGGCTGAAGGGCGCTAAGGGCGCTGAGAGCGCTGCCGGGGCGCTGCGGCGGCACCGCCTTGGCCTCTCTGTTGCCGCCATTTCGCGCAGTGGTGGTGGGTGGCGCTGTTGGCGAGGTGGCAGCGACTCAGCCGAGTTCTCTTTCCTTGCCGGGTCGGGGAACGAGCGCTGTGAAGTGGGGATGGCCCCTGGCCCTTGAGGGCACCTATTACACGGCTGGAACTGAGCAGCTGTAATTGCTTTGGGCGGAGCCCCTGGAGGTTGTGACCTTCACTTGGCCCCTCGGAGGGAGCGCTGAGGTGAAATACAGGGTGTGAGGAAACTATTTGGTTTTAGGAGGGAGGTGAGAAGCAAAGTGGCTTCAAACCTGAGCAAACCCTCTTGTGGCCTGCAGTGTTTATAGTAAGCTGTCTTAAAGTAGATACATGAGAGGACTTTGCTTACAGCATTTGGCAAATATAAATGTGATTCAGCGGTCTGTGATGCTCTGCAAATGCCTGCTCATCTCCCTCATTCTGCTATCTTGAATATGCATTTTTCCTGGGCTGTCATACCACTGAAAGTATGGAAAAGACCCCTGGATTCGTGTCCATCTTGGACATGCGTTCCCCCACATCATTATTGTTGTCCTTCTTCTTTAATTTTTCTTCTTTTAAAAGTCTGAGAGAATTCCCTCAGTGTTTCTTGGCTGTGGATTTTGAGGGCTGTCTCAGCTGACTGCCAGCAAGCAAGTGGATAAATGTAGAACTGCCCAAAGGAGTGATGTACCAGGGTTTTCCAGTCTCTTAGAATGACCTTGACATCTCTTACCGTTTTTATTTACATTATCAAGCAATTGGAATTAATACAGTCAGACAAAGAATAAATTATGCATAGAGAGCAGGGGCCTGAAGAGCTCTGAATATTAAGTATGTAAAAGACTGTTCAAGGATGAGAATCCAGATTCTTTAAATGGAAGTTACGTAATCATAGATTGACAATACCTGAGGTATGAAAAGCATTTCATACTTGTGTGCAGTGTTTGCAGCTCGTAGGAGCTGCTGGAGCAGTGGTTATTCAGTTGGATAAGTGCTTAACACAGATACTACTACTTGAATAGCAACAACTTTATAGCACTAATGACAGATGCTTTCTGCTGCCACTACTGATATTCAAGCCTAAGAACTCCTGCTTTGGATTACTGACATTGAAAGCGTGTGCGAGCATGGTGGCAGATTAACCATCTTTGTTAGATTTATGAATGTGATTTCTAAATTCTAGGTTTACTAGTGTGAAGGAAAAGAGTGGCAAACCCTGGCAGTGGGGGAGTGGCAGAAACTGGCAGAAGTGGTGGTGCTCAGAAAAGGAGTATGAAAGGGGCATTGACAGATTTTATGTTTTAGAACTTCAAACAAGTCATCTTCCCTGTGCTCACAGACAGTTTAGATTACATGCTCTGTGTTGTGCTGATACTGTGAAATGTTTTCTGGTTTCAATTCGAAACACTTCTCTGGAATATTTGAAGTTTTGCAGCTTCTGTAGAAGAAAAGATACTTTTAAAATGTTTGATTCTCAGATGACAGTATGGAGTAATTAAGTAAGCCTGAATCCTATTTGCAAAGTGTTGTAAAGGACTTTGTTCATGTGTTACTAACGAGACGCTAGAGTACAAAAGAAGCGTTGCCTTTGGTGTATCTCCGCAGGTAGAGAAGATAGCTTTGCTTTGTTGTTTTATCACCAGATTTGGCCTTATATTGAGTTGCGTAAACTCTGTTGGTTTGATATTTTACCATTTGTTTCACTGAATCTAAGATTTTTTGAGTCATAAAATTCTTTATTTGGTATTTTTTAGTGAGATCTTTGCTATATAAAGTTGTTCTCAAACAAAATTAAGAGCTCTGAAACTTCTCATTACAAATATATGAAGAAAACATGTCTAATGCCAGGAGTTGATTATGACTGAAGAACATTTAACTGGAGTATTTTTAAAACTTGTATATGATCAATTTAGACATAACCTCTGGTCTTGATGTTTCAGAACAAACCTGCTAAAAACATTAAGGAGTTGGGCCTCTACTCCAGTTATCCAAGTAAGCAACTTGTACATAGGTTACAAAAAGTAATCCGATTTGCTTGTAAATTGAAATGATTGTTGGGGTTTTTTTAGATAATAGAACTATTTTGTTTTGCAAAAATTGATGGAATATGTTCATAAAACAGATTGTATTTTTCATTCGGGAAAAAAATACAGTCTGCAGTTGTACAAGAGAATCTTAGCATTATTCTTAGAAATTAGATAACATAAACTTTATCTGCATCTTCACTGTTCAGCACTTTTCCCTCATGAGATATCATAGTAGTGTAAAGATTGTTTAGGCTGTCCTACAGTATTTTTTGGTCATAAGTAATAGGATCCATATTTTATCAGGAGAGAGATTTTCTTTTTGAAGAAGAATTAAGGATGCAGGCAAAAGCTCTAAAAGAAGATAACCTAGACATAAAATATTGGCACTTATGGCTAATAAGATTTCTACTGCTTATACAGGTTCAATTCTAATCATTTCAGTTCCACGGTTCCTGGAGCTGCTTTTTGCAGATTAAGAGACTTCATATTTGATCTAAAAATGTTCAACTCCGCAAACATGGTCTTTTCACTGGACAATTTTTTTTATGAAAGACCAGATAAAATACAAAGGTAAATCTTCATTGTTAAATATATATAATATTTTTCCACAGTCTGAATTGTTTTACAGCAGAATTATTTTTTGTAGCTCCGTTTTCTGTCTACCAATAGAAATGGGCCAGAAATTTCCAGGTTCATAACCCATACTTTGAAATGTTTTCCCAAGGACACTTGAAGTTTCAGTGGTGCAGGTGTGTCTTAGGCTATAAGAAATACGGGTTAGCGGAAGTTATGCCTGTTAAATTTTTCTGTGATTAAAAATCATACAAATTCAAGAATATCTTTTAGCAGGAGAAACAGTAGGTTGTGATTAGTGATTTTGAGCTAAATGTTGTGAAGGGTGCTTAAAAATGCTTTGACTTTACATTTCTGTGTTAAAAGTAGGTATCTAGAAAATGAAGAGCCTAAGGTTTGGTGTATTGCACCTGCTCCGTCTATTTCTGAAATTCCAGCTGCAGAGGAGTTGCAGAGGGAGCTGGAAAAAACCACAGCCAGCACTCATAAGGGTAAAATATCATACAATAAAATGATAGAATCATTTATGTTGGAAAAGACTTTGAAGATCATGGAGTCCAACCATAAACCTAACCTTACCAAGTCTTGCTAAGCTATATTTGACATTCATTTTTAATGGTTTAAGAAATTATTAGCTTTACAGATAATTCCTCCTCTTTTTTCTATTACTGTGAAATATGGAATATTCTAGCTATGCAAATACAGACAAAGAATGTATTTTAGTTGAGAGTGATCTTACATATGTTTGGAGTGTTAGCAGTCATCTTTGGGTGTATAGAAGCTACATGTTTACTGTGCAGAAGTGGGCAAGGTAAGAAGTATGATCAAAATTTCAGCTATTCTACATTGTTCCATGAACACGGTGAAAAGCAGCTGTAAGAGCATAATGCAACACATGGGTCTGAGAGATATTGCTTGAACCTAACTTTCTTCTTCTCTTTTGTGGCTTTTTTCTCAAATTGCTGTTCAGGAGGCCAAGTTTGAATCTGGCCATTGCTTGCTGCTAAGTGAGGTATTCCTTTCATCTGGACATTCAGGATCACCTTAAGGAAATTTATTTTAAAGAATTTGGTTGCTTTATCTCTGTCAACTAGATTTCTGCATTTCTCAGCTGCTGTGCTGGTTTATGATAGTCTCTGTTTAGGAATTATATTGTTAATACAGAAGGTGTTTTTTCCTAGTTTCTAGATGGATAATACTGAAATTAATAGGCTGTGTAATACAGCTGTTCTGTAATCTTGTTGCATTCAATTGCTCATTTCTGCTTTCCTTCTGCTGACACATCCTACTGAGAGCTAACCTTTCAAAATGTGATAATTAACCAAGATGACTATGAAACCATCAATATGAATTTTGACTGTTGAGATTGTAGGCTTTATATCATGGCTGTTCGTAGTAGGAGCTTCAAGCTTGGTCTCTGTATCATCTTTTTGAAAGACTGTCTTTATTCTGGGACAGGGTGGAGAGTTTCTATCTTACAAACTACTTTGTAGCTCTGAGGAATAGTTTTGCTCCATTAGTTTGTATATAAGGCATAGAAAGTGACCATGTTTTTATAACTTTTTAATTAACAACATACATTGCATTCATCAGCATGAGTTGTAAAATGCGCACTGAATTTCTTGCAATAAGATAGAAATATCAGTTCATGTAAAAGACATGAATTTGTCTTATTCTGTGTGGAAAATATTTATATGAGTACTCTGAGTATGAATAGGAAGTTGAATATTAATAGAAATGCTAATCTTTTTTTTTTTTGCAGGAGGGAAAAAACGTAAGAAGTTTATACAACAATGTAAGAGTACCTCTGAGGAAGGACATGATAAATCACCAGCACCAGTTCAGTTTGGCATATCCTCTGAAAAAGAAGTGCTCCAATTTAGTGTAGGAGAAAGAGAGAAAATTAGTTTTTGCCCTGAAAGTCTGAAAATGGTTTCATTGTTTCTCTCTTCTGACAAAAATAAATCTAAAACAGGAACAGGGGTTTCTTGTCCACCTGGCACAATTTTTGCACAAAACAAAAGAGAAAGTAATTTTCCAGAAAACAGTGATGATGATGACGAGAGTGCCCATTCAACATTAAGAAAAAAGTATGTGTCTAGTCAAGTCTGATCATTTATCCACTGTCAGGATCGTATTACTCTTTTAGAAACGTTCGTTAAACACAGAGTTTTGCATCCTTCAATTGAAGGTATATAAACAGGATTCCAGTCACTAGTTCTTTTCAGTATAAGGAAGAAAGATGTTTCCTTTTGTCAGTATTTCAGTACTGTAATTAAATGTGTCCTGAGCTCATCCTCTTTTAGGAGAAAAGTAAGGATGAAGTTCTTTGCTTTGATTTTAAATAAATTGTTATATAACAAAGGATTTTCAAAATACTATTTTGAGTTCTTTATTGACATGGTAATGAGAAAGAAGGCAAAGATCACTCGCATTTCAGAGCAGAGGTCTGCCAGCCAGGAATACCTTGATCAGTTCTCAACATGTGCTTCAGTGCTTCCTGGGAAGAGAGGTTTTACAGATAAACTCATCTTCTGCCCAGCTCTTCTCATTGCTCAGAACCTGTGTGTCTCTATTGTTCCTAGTTATGCAGAGATTGACAGTTAATCTCTTAAAGCGATTCAGAGCTCATCTGGACAAGGAGTTAATTTGGGTTCTTTCTGGAATGACAGTAAAGTTCAAACGTATCTTGAAAGGAGTCTTCTTTAGGTAGAAGGGCATCAGATTAAATAAAGTTAGAGATAAATTTTTCTTATGGATGTATCTTACTAATTCTGCTTCTGATACAAATAGATATACTTTTAAAATGTTAGAGAAACTGTGTAATATTACAACAAACTAATGAAATTCTGGATCTTTTTCAGCTTATTTAAAATGCCTGATTATATGCACACAAAAACAGAACTGAAAGATAGTCCCATTGATGTGAAAGGAATTGATACTTACTTAAATACAACTGAAAACATGAAAGAAGTAAAAAAAGGTTTATGGAGAAATAATCATCATTCTTCAATAACTGAAGACTCAGATTTAACTCTGTGTAGGGTAAATAATGGGAACATTGCATCTAAAAATGGAATGAATATGAAATCATTTCCTAATGCTTCAGAGATTCTGGATATGACAGGTAACTATTACTACTCTGTTTCAAGAAAAATAGTCCACTGTCTGTCTTTGGTATGTAATAGTAAGGGATATCCATGATCTCAAGTAGAGTGAAGAACATTTTCCCACCAGCTCAAGGTGAGATAATTGGGTCAAGCTGGAAGAATATACTGCATTTTTATGTAACTTAATTGCATTGGGTTTTAATACGAGCCGGGTAAACAATTTAAGAAGAAAAATCACATTTTCAAAAGTGCCAAGTCATTTTGAAAATGTCACTCCAAATCAGTCCTCTAAATCTGAGAAAGAGCAGCCTCATTCCTTCATGTGGTAAATAGTCTCATCTTCATTTGAAAATGGAATGTTTCTTTGTGATGTGGTTTACATCTAGATTTTAAGCTTTTTGGGACAGGGTCTCATTGTATCTGTGGAATGTACCTTGTGTACCTGGCTAACTCCTGCAGAAATGCAGAATACAAAAATAGTTCTAGCAGAAAATTCTAGGCAGAGCTGTGGCTTAGGATGGGATTTGGAAGCTGGTCAGGAGTGGAAAACATGATTCCTCTCTGCCTTCTGAGCAATGGTGACTAGCTTTGTGTATGAGTGGAGAATAGTGGATGTCATGTACTTTGACTTAAGTATGACTTTTCATAGACTCAGAATGGCTGAGAAGCACTGTCTTCCACAGCATTCTGGTATCTGAATTAGGACTCTGGATTAGCAATGCATGTACAACTGCATGGGTAGAATAATGGTTGAATAGTTGGGCTCAGAGGTGAGTGTTAACAGGTCACATATTGCCCACATGCTGGCTGCAACTGCAGGGGTCTGTCCTGGGGGAGGGGACTGCTAGTGATCTCATGAAATTCAGTAGGAACAAATGCAAAGTCCTGCCCCTGGGAAGGAGAAGAACTTCTGTGGGTTCCTTGGGATGGACTGACTGGGTGCAGCTCTGTGGAAAATGCTGGGGTCTGGCAAGCAGCGCTCTGAACATCAGCCAGCAGCGTGTCCCAGCAGTAACACAGGCCTACAGCATCCTGGGCTTTCTTAACAGGAGCAGAGCCAGGAAAATTGAGGGAAGTGATTATCCCCTTCTTGGCACTTTTGAGACTGGATCTAAATACTGCACCAAGTTTTGCGCCTCTGGTGCAGGCAAGACATCCTTAAACTGGAGTGGGTTCAGCAAAGGGCCACCAAGTTGGTCTTTCCAGATGATGAGCTTGTGACCTCTTTTTCCTGTCCTCTCAGCAACTTCTGTACTACCTGGACCTTGTTATAGCCTTGCAGTGCCTCACAGAACACACAGCTTGGGGTCAGGAATGTACTTTTCATGGGTATTGGTTGAAAATAAATCCGATTTTATAAATTTACTACTTGTATTTCTTTAGGAGTTACAGGAAGAAAACTGGAAATTTTGAGAGCTGTTACAGAAATACGTATCCTTACATTTGCTGTATCTGATTTACTGATTTTATTACAATGCTTTTTACATTTACAAAATAACAGTTTTAATTTGTAGCCATAGGATTTCTTGCCTTACACTGTAACAGTTTTGATTTGTAACATAATGCTGGGAATAAAATGATGAATAGGTGTTTACCCTTTGGACTTCCTGAGCTAGAAGGAAAATAGGACAACTTATGGCTCGCTCATTGCTAAATCAATCTATTCTTATTTCAAACATTTGAAATTTATCCTCAAAACTGTTTATTTTTATAATGTAAAATTTTTTGTTTGCATAACATATATATTTCAGGCAAGTTTTTATATGCAAACATGTACATCCCCATATACTTTAAATAAAGGAAGAGTGAATTATTATTTAGGCTTATTAGGAAAACCAAATCTTTTTGTCCCATTTTCTCAGGAAAAAATAAACTTCACCTACTCCTTATAGTTCTGTATTTATGTTGTAGTGTGCATGCAGTGTATTTCCATTCTTTAAGCAGGTTTTACAATAATTTTCCTTCTTGGCCCTGCCTTGAGCCCATAACACAATTAACCATCCATCTATAGATGTCTGTTTACTTCTTTTTCTGTTTTTACATTGTCTCGTCAATATTTTGTTTCTAGTAAACTGTCAAATGGTACGTTAAATAGCAGGAATAGGAAATATGTAAATTTAGGCAACTTAAATTCATATGAATAGCTTTAAGAAGTGTCATAATTTCCAAAGTTAATAAAGACTCAGTTGGTCTGAATTTGCCATAGTCAATGTTCTTCATTTTGAAAATACAGCATGCACTTAGGGAATTTTAGGGAAGTTTTTTTAAAAAATCCTTATTTTATTTAGTGTAATGCTTGCTTATCTTCACCCGTTTTTAATAGTTCTACTTAACTGCTTTTATTTCATGTCCCACTCCATTTCTTTTTCATCTTTATTTAGTCTCTGAATGTAAAATAAACCTGAGGCCTCAGCAGTTCATTGTTCTTGTTATTGGAGGTGTTATGTCTGACTGTGTGTGCATCCTCAGCCTGATCAGACATTACAGTTAGCCTGCTTATGGCTTCAATGCAAGTCCAGACAAGGATCAACTCACTTACTGGATGTGTAATGTAACAATGCTCTCTTTTCTTCTTAATCGTTTTTGAGATAAGAATGTTGTTGTTTGATGAATACATGATATTAGACACTGGAAAATATCTTTAAAACCACTGATGTAGGTGACCAGACAGACAAGATTATGCCAAATAATTTCTGCTATAGCTATATATGTATGATATATGTAGATATATATAGATATATACAGATATAATATGACCATTGACACGTTAGATATGCAAACAGCAGTGCTTTGCTTCTCATGTCTGGTTTACAGTGTAGAATAAAGCTTTTATTGCTTAGTTTCACTCTCCATAATTGTATGCCATTCCAGGAAGCCTATGCCAGGGAGCAGGTTCTTGATCATTGGTATAATCCTGAGACATCTCAAATAGGTAGTGGATTTTTTTGGCAAAGTGGAATTATATGGCACACAAAGAATTTAAATAAAGCTACTAAATAGTTTAATAGGTTGCTTTTTGGTAAACTTTCCCAAGCTTGTATCAGTGAAAGATTCTTGTATATGTTTTGATTTGCATTTAAATTATAAGAAAGATATTAGTTTACAGTTCTCAAATAAATTTTGTGACTTTCAACTGCTTTAAATTCCTTAATGCTGTCAAGCAACCCAGTTTAGGAGTATTTTTAAGGAGTTCCCATATTTCAACTATGCACAGTCTAAAGCTTTGGATGATGTAAGTATGAAACATTAGATACAGTACAGAGTAATACTTAGTAGATAAATTTAAAAGGGGTTAAAGTAGATAACATAAAGGGGTTAGAAAAAGTAGATAACTTAAAAGGGGTTAGAAAATTGTGATATATCTAGAACCTCTTCTGGAACAGTTGAGCAGGGTTTTGCTTAGCTGAGAAAAGGGACCAGAAGAACTTTTAAGTAATGTTGTTGTCAGTTTTAAATAAATTTATGTGAAGATGTGAATTCTGTGTGGATTTCTGCATACAGATTAGTAATATTTTTAAATTTATTTTCATAGGAAGATTAAGAAAAGCAGAACTTTAGAGAAAGTTTTACTTTTGGAAAAGTGATGTTTATCCATCGCCTCTTGTATCAGCTATGCTCTTTTTAAAACCAAAACTTCTTTTAAAAGGGACCAGATAAAGATTGTATTATAGGTATTGCAGAGAGGAGATACATGATCCATCAGTATTCATCAGAGCATTTGAAATCTTTATTCAACTTCAGGGGGAATCCAGTGTCATTTACCAGCTTTTATAAGCGTGTGTTTTTCAAGCTACTTTTGATGTTGCAAATGTTTTAATTTCTTATCCACTAATTATAAAGTGAAGTCTTTAAGAATGGTATTTATATGAGCAGAATAATCTTGTATTAAAATTATACAAGGAGTTGTAGTTTTGCCTTCCCCCCCCCCTACATTTTTAGTTCTATGCATAAATTTGGGTTATTTTTTGCCTCCAAATTTGCATTTATTTGCTGAGGAGAGCTATACATCATATTGGCCTGTAAAATGATCTTGTATGACTGTTCCTAGAATAATGGGAAACAGCATGTAATCAAGATTTACTTTCATGGAAGTTGCAGAAACAGGGAAATAATTTTAGTTTCTCAGGGAAATAGTTTTAAAAACTTAACATTCTATTAAAATGATAGCTATTAAAATTATACATATTCAACAATGTTGCAATTTTGACTGCAGTTTGAATTACAGAATGGAAACAAATTGCCCTTGGAATTTGAACACAAAATACGTCTTTCTGATGAGCCTATGTTTGGTTCCAGTCGGATGCTGGCAGTGATTCTGTTTTAATGTAATATAAAGCGAGACACTGCTTCTTTTGTTTGCTGCAGAATGGTAAACTGCATTCCATAATAACCTTAAGATGAACACAGTATCTCATTTATGGCTCTGTGGCAGGTGTGTGGCAGAAGATGATGTTCTTGTGCTGTAACATAAAGTTCACAGCTAATGCAAATATTTTTAGAGGAGTACATATGTCAATGTAATAATAATTTCCTCGTGTGGTTTTTCCTTAACAATGCTTATGGATAGCTGTGTTATATTTACTACTTTGCAATTCTTTCCTAGCTTCTGTATACAGATAGGAATTTTGTGATTTGTGCTCCAACTGGCTCTGGAAAAACTGTAATGTTCGAGCTAGCTATTACCAGATTACTCATGGAAGCCCCACTGCCTTGGCTAAATATTAAGGTTGTTTACAGTAAGTATTATGCAGCCTTAACCCTTCTGGTAACGGCAGTAGAAAATGTCATTCTCTATTGTGGAGATCTAGAGTGACTGCTTGAATTATATGGAAATTAAATATGTTAAGAAATTGTGGCCTACCTTTAAGAAGTTGTTTGTTTTAGGGTTTATTTCTTTGTGATACCATTGTAACTCTTACTAGTATTTAACAGGACTGTATAATTGTAGCGTTCAGCATTGCCTATACAAATAAAAATAAAGAAATCTCGTGAAGAGTTTGTCATCTAGGAAGGCAAGATAGACACTAAAAGGGAAGAAGAAAGCAAAGAAAACTAAAATTCTTACTGGCAGATGCCTGTCTGTTGCTCTAAGATGAGGATCAAATCTTCCATTTTTATTTACCTGACAGGGTTTCTGTCTACTAGTTCAAAGGCAACAAAGCTATGATCTTTGAGTTTAATTGATCTGTGTAGGAACTAATGAAAATACTTGAGAATAGTCACAACCATTAACACCTTTTATTTTCTTTCGTTTATGGATAACCGAATTCATAACATGTAAATCAGGTGAAATTGGTGGCTTTTCCCAGTTTTAATTTATTCATACAGTGATATATTTGTCAGTTTTCTATTAATGGTTATTCTTTATATTTACAAAAGTTTCAGCTTAATGTATTTATCTTAATTCCAATGTGTTCAAGTTCTTACAGTAAAGCTAGTGTACAATTTACTGTGTATTTTAAACAGGAGGTGTATAAGCAGGCACATATTACAGTTTCTTTGTCAGCGTATCGAGGTGAAACATTTCAGTGTACTGTAATGGTTTGATTGCCTTGGTAGAACTGATACAAATTGTCCGGTTGGAACTTCAGTAAGGAAGCCAGTTACCTGCTGGTGGAATTAGATCTGCTGATTTTTCCAGGTTTGACAGTGGTGGAGAAGGAGACGTAGTTTTCCAAATGTTGGAACAGAGGTGTTAATCAGATTATGTACTGCCAGAGCATGCTGTGATACCTGCTTCATCAGTGGCCCAATCTATATGAAATATCTTGCAGTAGTTTTATAAATTAGAGTTGTTTCCAAGATGCTGAGGATTGGTGACTGAAGTCACCAGAGCAATCATTAGCTTCTTGTATTCTTCCACAGCAAAAGATCATTACCTTTGCAATTTTGAGTTACTTTCTCGTAGCTTAATCTGTTTTCTGGAGCTGGTGATTTCCCTGCCTTATAGACCACTGATAACATGAGATTTTATACCTCTTTCTGAAGCAGAAACTGGTTATTTAAATCTCTTCATTTTGGGAATCACTTGTCTACTGATATGATGCTGATGGGTCATATTCAGTTGCTCTAAAAAGCCTAGTATGTGATCACTGCAAGATCTATTTTTTTACTGCTGTTTTCAGATCATGCATAGATCACTTGTTTTACTTAAATCACTGCATTTTCTGTATAGATTACCCATCCAATATAGACTTACATGTGTTGCTGGTATTAGTCTGTCTAGAGAATTACTTCTGATTTCTAGGAATCAACTTCCATCTGCAAAACACAGTAAGTGTCCAGTGGAAAAAAAATATTATGAAGAAATAGGTTGTTCTAGGAGTCTGTTTTTATAAGGCCCAGCATCAGAACTGCTGCCTGCCATGTTAGTTGCTAGTTGCTGTGTTAGCTGCTTGGTGCTGACTACATTTAACTGCACATCTGGTTTAGATAGATTTTGATTTTTTTCTACCATACTGTCTCTTGCTCGTGGATGGTTTCTCACTTATGACCCTTTTCCTCTCTGAATACAGAGTGCTCAAATCATTCTGAACTGGAAAAAGGTTGGTATTTGTGTGATCTTCCGTTGGAAAAGATGTCTTTCCTGTGGTTTCTTCCATGTATGATAAAATCTTCGGTAGCTGAGTAATTTTTTCCGTGTGGGATTGAGTTAAAAATGGGGGTTAAGAAAGGGCATAAATAACTGTAGTAAAAGGGTTCTGATTGCTGATGGGGAAGAACTGGAGCCCAAAGCTCAACACTGATCTGTGCACATGGAATAGGATAATAATACCAGTTACAAATTTTATGGTTCTGGGAGCAAAGCTGAAAATTAGGGAAATTAGATTCAAGAAGACATCTTAAAAATCTATGCATTTAGCATCTAGCAATACAGTTGAAGCTTTGGTTTACCTGATATAACACTGATTATTTTGTGTTGGTTTTAGTGGCTCCAATAAAAGCTTTGTGCAGTCAGCGTTTTGAGGACTGGAAAGAAAAATTTGGACCTATAGGACTCAGCTGCAAGGAACTGACAGGAGATACAATGGTGGATGACTTATTTGAAATACATCATGCTGACATTATTATCACTACACCTGTAGGTTTCAGTCTCAACTCTTACCAAAAACTAGAATAAGCAGACAGTAGTAGTCTACTCATTGTATTCTAGTAGGACTGCTCTTTTTTTATGATCCTTATATTTGCTCACACACTGCTGTGCATACTATTAGTTCATAGAAACAACAGCTAGTAATCATGTGCTAGATGAAACAAACATGGCATTAGCTTGAATTAAACTGATTTTGTTTCAAGACTAATTAAAGTTTGGGCATGTCTGCCTGTACCGTACTTTTGGCATATGTTGGCCTTTCAAGCATCTTTTGCCTTTTGTTTTTTGTTATGGGGTTTTTTTTTTTCTCCTAGGAAAAATGGGATAGCATGACTAGAAGGTGGAGAGACAACTCTATAGTCCAGCTTGTACGCCTGTTTCTCATTGATGAGGTAAGAAAATTAATGTTTTATATGCACTGGTTTTCTTCTTGAAGATAAAAGGAAACTTGAAAGTATAACATTTATTTAAGACATGTATAGATTGTAACTGGAGAAATATTTAGCAAATTTTTTTAAATTCCCAATAGGTGCATGTTATAAAGGATGAAAGCCGTGGTGCAACGTTAGAAGTTGTAGTCAGTCGAATGAAGACTGTTCAGTCTTCACTTTGGCATCTTTTTGAGAATCATGACACTGTTCCTCCCTTGAGATTTGTAGCTGTTTCTGCAACCATCCCAAATGCTGAAGATGTAAGAGCTACATTTTAACTTTATTTGAATTAATGTAGTTGTATTTTATAAAACTTATCTGGACTAATAAATTCAGATTGATAACAGAGTTGTGTCATTTTGAAGCTGTCACCTGAAGGCAGCTGTGAGGTAGATGTTAAGGTACCACATGACCTACAACCATATGGAATTATTAGCCAAGTACGGACATGCTTCAGTTTTAGATTTGTGATTTTTGTCTTTAAGTACAACTCGCAACTGACTTGAGATTTCAGTACAAATTATATTGGTCCTGTAGATAGCAGCGATTCACCTGTGTTTTTAATGATAAAAGCAATGTCAAGTGTATTAATAGTTTACATGTGACAAAAGCCAAGTTAATTATTGTGTGATGCAGTTAGAGCACAGGGAGATTAAAAGCAGAAATTTTTCATTTCTATTCTATTTCTTCTTTTTCACAGATCGCAGAATGGCTTTCAGATAGTAAGATGCCAGCTGTATGCCTGAAAATAGATGAGGATCAACGACCAGTCAAGCTACGCAAAATTGTTCTTGGTTTTCCATGCAGTGACAATCAGACAGAATTCAAATTTGACTTAACTCTTAACTACAAGATAGCTAGTATTATACAAGCATACTCGGAACAAAAACCAGCACTTGTGGTATAACAGCTTTTCCCTTCATCACATTTGAAACTGTTTCTTTCTTTTAAAGTGTTGATTAAAAAAACCTTTTATTTATAGTTTTGTGCCACAAGAAAAGGAGTGCAACAGGCTGCTTCTGTTCTTGCAAAAGATGCTAAATTTCTCCTGAGTGGAGAACAGAAACAAAGGTATTTGTATGTTGAGTTGTTAATAAGTGTTTGTGTGTTCTAGTAAACCTGTGACTTCTGTGAAGAAAACTTTTGAACTAATACAGTTTGTAGTAGAAGAGTGTCTGCAACAAAATCATCCTCACAGTTGACATTCTTTTTGGTAAACTGGCACTTCTTGGGAAGTTTTATTTACTTCTTGGATGTTTAGGGTACTTCATACAAACATTCAGCTATTTCTAAAAGCTGCCTTCTAAGTATACAGATGTTAATTCCTATGGACCTATAAAGCCTTATATTGCAATGGTTAAGCATTTTGAATAGTTGAATTGGATGTGGTCTTACTAGTGTTTTAAGTTAAGCTGTAAGGAGTCTTTGCATTATCAGGAACCTTTAATAAATGCAGCCCTGACCCATATTATTATTTACTTCAGGGTTGCTTAGTCCTGGCAGCTGCAGGAGCTACTTCCTGATTTTGGACCTCAGACATAATTCTTCTTTTTGTTATGTGAACAACATCTAGATTGTACGTTGTGACCTGGAAAGATAACTGACCTGGAAAGGCTGCAGCAGCTGCCCCAGAGAGTCAGTTTTGTTCCCTTTGCAAAGATGGGAAAGGTGGTGGTTGAAAATATCCAAAGAATGTATACGTTAAATATTATTTTAAGACTATGTCCTTTTGATAGTCTAGCATGTAACTGGAAACTACGAACATCCTTAAAAAGCACAAATGCAGTAGAACTATGGGAAAGTATGTAAAAAATGTACATGTCAAAGCATACATCTTACAATCTTCAGGTGGGGTAATGGTGTATCTAGTTTCACATGAAGCTTTATTTTTGCATTTTAAAAACATACTTAGTCTTTGTATATTGCACTTAGATTAGTGAATGTGGTTTGTGATTTTGAAGTATTTGGGTTTTTCTGTGTGTGTTCCATAGATTACAGAGGTCTGCAAATTCGCTGAAAGATTCCAAACTGAGAGGTAAATATAACCTACTACTTCTCTGCTCTGTGAATGGATACTTGCTTGAGTAGTATTATTTCATAACTGTAATTATTCTTATAATTATTTTACTATCAGATCTTTTAATGTATGGTGTGGCTTATCATCATGCGGGTATGGAGTTATCTGACAGAAAAATAATTGAAGGAGCCTTTACTGCAGGAGACTTACCAGTACTTTGTAAGTAAATGTAACTTTGAAAGTCAAAATGATGTTAATGTGTCCTGAGGGGACTGCACTTTGGAAGTGGTAAAATTTTATGATTCTATGGTTTGTTTAACCTTTGGAATTATTACTTTGTGAAATCCAGATAAAGAGGTGTTTGTGTTTTACATACACTTTCACCCTGTGAGTATGCATACACACTGTTACTAAAGACTATAGAACTTTTTTACAGCATACACAGAGGTCATCCTTCCTCATATGTCTATATAGGTCTGCCAATGTCCAGCTCCTTTTCATACCACTGAGCCATCCTGTTGAGGTGAAACTCTCTACTAGTGTGCCTTGCCTCAGAGTTCACATTATGTGGGTTTTTTTTATTTGCATCCTTTGCGGCAGTGATACAGGTTAAAATACAGTGATAAAGGTAATCTTTTAGGTTTATGTTTCTTAGATTGGCAGGCTACTGTGTTCAAACTCCCATGCAAGGTGTTTTGACTGATGGGGAGGTTTCTGAGTATTCCATCTGCTGTTACCCAAGATGAGAATGTACCTGTTTGAGTCATGGTAGTTTCATTTCATCCAGGCTTTCTTTTTCTGTTAAAAAAAATTCAGATCCTCTGGGGAATTGTCTGTGTGGTTCTTGCACAACACTGAAAAATTCATGGATTTTTTTCTTTCCTACCCAATGGTCATGACTCACTATGAAAATTTAAGGTACATACCCTTACTGTGACCTGGCAGCCTTGCTGGAGTTGCAGTGTCCATGACATTAAAAAGTCTCTGCATCCCTGCAATCTACTGTACTTTGGCTGCCTGGTGCACTGCATATGGCTTTGCCAACTGCAGTGCCATTTCTGCAGTCTCAGGAGACTGGTTCTACAATTGCTTTTTGCAAAAATAACTCTGAAAACCTGTGCCACAGCTGAGCACACCATGAAGGTGTATGTGGACTACCACTGAAAAAATGCAAGGTTGCTTACTGGTACTTAAGTAATTTGAAATTTATAGTTTGTATGAATATTTTGGAATCTTCTGAGATATAGAATTACATTACCTAAGTTGTATTGAGGGGAAACTGAAAGAGTATGGGGCATATTCCACTTTATATATCTGAAGGTAGAGTTTAAACACACCTTTCACAGATACTGCAAAGGGGAAAAATTCTTTGGTCTTGAAATAGAGTGTTTGTATACTCACAGTGTGTGTGTGCATACACGTATGTATGAGCATACACCTATATGGACTGAATTCTGATTGCACTGTAAAAAACCTCTCTTTGGACTTTTTTATGGTTAGCGCATTTTGCTTTGACAAATATCCCATTTTGCAACCAACACAATATGACAAAACATAATACATAATACTCTCACAAGATGGGGTGGATATGTCTTTAATTTACACTAAAGTTTTCCTTCCTGATGCACCTGAATTTTAGTTCTGCTTTTATTTCAGAAAAGAACTGGAAAATTCATTGCTACTTTGTTTTCCTAGAGCCGTAGTTTTATCATTTGACTCTTATAGGTGTTTTTCCATGTTCAGTTCCTGCCACCCCATATATTTGTTAGAGAAAGTGAATTAGAAAACATGAGTGTGAGAGAATTTGCCACCAACTTGATTGGGGTTTTCTGTGTGAAAGTGTGTATTGGTAAAGTAGTGCAATAGTATTGGTGGTGATCCTGGTTTGGTACCATGGTTATGAAGATGCTAATGACTGACTTAAAATACCTTAAAGAGATTGATCACTACAAGGCAAGGTGTAATCAGGGCTATATTCAAATACCTATCCATCAAGAAATATGAATAATATTTCTTCAATGTGTATGTGTCATATTGAAGATGGATTGGATTCTGGATTATCTCCAAATGTTAAGGAATGTTTAAATAAAAATATCTAGGATGTAATTTGTTAAAGATTGTTGTGCAATGTTTTTCATTTTGCAATCAATATACTTTAATCTGATGTAGTTACTACTAGCACCTTAGCAATAGGAGTCAATCTACCTGCACATCTGGTAGTCATAAAATCCACAATGCACTATGTTGGAGGAGTGTTCCAAGAGTACAGTGAAACTGACATTCTGCAAATGATTGGGAGAGCAGGAAGGCCTCAAGTAAGTTAATGCTATATTACATTGATGCTCTATATGGTTGGATCAGTAGAAACTATTCATGGCAAAGAAAGTACACCACCAACGATTTTACAGCAGTATTTGGGTTTTTAAGGGTTGTTATTAATAGTTAAATTACTCCTGGGTAACTTCATAAAGGAATTCTGTTTTCTTTTGTCTTGTTCGCTAAAATGTACTGCTTCACCTTGCTCTGGAAGAAGATCTAAAGATCACATTTGGGTTACGTAATGAATAAGGAGTAGAGAAAAAGTAGGAGGCTGGTATACAACTTCCAAATGACATGATAAAGATTCTGCAATATTGAATAGTATTGAATAATAGCATGGAGAGCCATGTGCTTTTGTTCTCTCAACATCAAACTAAGAAAATGTATAATTAAGTTAGCTGTGGAATTAGAAGGGGAGGGCCAGAAACAGTGCCTTCAAAGAGTTCTAATTCATTTTGCTTCCACAAGAGGTTGCTGATGCCAAGAATGCTGTGTGTTAGAAAGGCTTTAGACATTTCTTTAGCTGTAAAAAGGAAGGGAGGGGTGGGATTTAAAAATGATTATTTTAATTTTGCCTCTTTCAAGTCTTCAAACCGTTTATGTTAAATCTTACACTTTTAAACCTTTCAATATTTAGAATAAAGATAGATAAATAGATAGATAGAGCCAATATAAAGCCTTACACAGGAGATAGTTAGGAGATATGGTGTGTATATTAGCCACTGTGGTATGTTGTGTACATGACACAACAGTATATTATCTGGACATAAGATCTAAACTAGTATGGAATGCCAGTAGTCCTCACTTTCTTAAGTGATTGGGTTTGGGGTTTTTTTGCTAGAGTAAATTCAGTAAGATTTTTAAAGTTGTGACTCAGAATCTTAAGGCATTTCAAATTCCTGAGTCAAGACCTGAAATATTTACCAAGATCTGCCTTACAGTAGTACATGTATTAATCTGATCTTAAAAAAATGCAGACATTAGGAAACTTCTTGTATCAAAACCCCAACAAATCTGTCTAATAATATTTTTTTCCCCTCACAAAACAAAATAATGTGAGGTGGTTTGAGAGTAGATATGAAGATTATAGAAATTTACCATAAAAGGGTTGACTGTTCATTCAAGACTTCCTGATGTTTGGAGATGATGATAAAAATTTATGTCAGAGAATTATTCTCTGTGGTTGTGGTCAGGAATCCTTTCCTTAGCTGTGGACCTTTTAACAGCTGAGGTCATTAACAGTTCACATTTGTGGTGTTTCTCAACATGTTTCTGTTATATGTACATTAGCACGTAAGGGCTGGTGTCTGCCAGCCAGCAAGAGCTGGAATCCCGAGTCCTGCTTGCTACCCACAGGAGTTGTAACTCACGTTTAAGTTAGAGAGACCTCGTCATTCAACAGCCATTTCAACAAGGATTTTAAGAAAACAGTTTTAAGGTTTTCAACACATACCTGATGTATATTCAACTGAAATTTCTTTGCTAAGAGCTAAACAGCAGATTTTGTTTGTGGTCTTATTTTTCAGTTTGACACTACAGCTACAGCAGTTATTATGACTCGTTGGAGCACAAGGGAAAAGTATATGCAGATGTTAAATGGTGCTGATATAATAGAGAGCAGGTAAGTAAACATTTTTTATAAGACTATATAGATGGTAGCAGTGTCTCATAGTTCCTACAGAATGTGTAGAAAATAATGTAAGAAATGTAATCAAACCAAGCTCTACAGAAATTAACAGCCTCTGTTTTATTACCTAAAATCATCTTTTAAACATCTTAAACTAAACAAAAATGTTGTAGATTTCTGCTGGAAAACTGAAGAAACTGAAATAGTACATGTTGCAAAGACAAAAAGCAAGAACTGAACCAAGATCGTGTCTCTGAATTTTTAGATTATAGTCTGGATAATACCAGGCTACAGAATTCACTTGACATGAACAGAGTATCAAGAGAAACATGTAGGAAAGTTAAGACTTTGGAGGGTTAAACATGAAATTTTGCTAAGGTTTGAATTTTCAAATATATTCAAAATACCAACACTGTTCTGTGACTTTTAAATGTATTTGAACTTTTAAAGCTTTATTTTCTAAAGAATGAGGAACTTTACAGTTGACAGGGTTTTTATTTTTGCTTGCTGGACATTAAGCCATAATAACCAGATTACATTGTTGATTATTTACGTATTCTTTACAGTGTTCTGTTGATTTCGCTGCTTAAAGTGAGCAGTTGACAGGAAAACAAAAAATAAAACAAACCCAGAAAATTGTTGTGAGTTGGGGAGGGTTTTGTTTTCTTTTGGGCACTTTCTGTACTACTAATTGATAAAAGTACTTACCTTTTACTTTTTTGTTTCACTAGCTTGCACAGGCATCTTGTTGAGCACTTGAATGCAGAAATCGTGCTGCGTACTGTCACGGATGTCACTGTAGCTTTGCAGTGGATACGATCAACATTCTTGTACATCAGAGCCTTAAAAAATCCAACTCATTATGGTTTGTTGGCTGTTTTTTTTATTTGTCTAAGTTATGACACTAGTATGTGCTAGATCCATGTTGTTTCTTTCAGTTCTTTATGCACTATTATTTCATAAGGGCTTCAAAACCAAATGTGTAATATGGCTTGTGACTTTTTAAGAACAGTTTCAGCTGCTTTAATAGAAGTAATAGGAGTTTCAGTATGGTATAACACTAAAAAACTATGAAGAAGGCATTTACAGCTTCTCAATGATCTGTTTCTTTTGAACTTAATACACTTTACCATGTATTAATGCAATATTGAGCTACAATGTACTTTTCAGCGCTGATTAGATAATGCGCTGCTGAAAAAAAAAAAAAAAAAAACCAAATGTCTAATTTTAAATAGTTTTTCTGAAATTAAAGATTAACTGATGTCCTCAGTTTGTCTTGCCCAGAACAGCCCCTTAGTCCCCAGCCCTGACCATGTCTTTGCTCCTGGTCACTTGCTCTACACCTGATTATGAAGTGTCCTGGTTTTGTTGCATTCAGGTCATTGGGCACTTGCTGGAGACAACTTTTTGTAAGGATTTATAGATGGGACTGGTACACGGTACATCTAGTGCTTAAAGCGATGTTATGATTTAGGTGGCTTCCTGTATTCTAAAATAGGAAAACTCTACATGTGAAGTTCTGACATTTCTGCAACTTTTAGGACTCTAATATTTTACATAGGGGAATATCTGCAGCTTTTACCTCTGTACATTTGCTTTAACAGTCACTTGCTGATACTTAGATACTTATGCTATGTAAGGCTTTCAACTTGTTCCCAGTATAATAAATAAAATCTACCAATTTGAGGTATTCTGGCTCCCCCAAATCAGTAAATCAGTTTTGATGAGTAAGGATTCGAGGAGGAGTATATCATTATATTAGGTTAAAAAGCATTTTGTCTTTTCATGAAGGCTTTTCATCTGGATTGGATAAAATTGGAATTGAAGCAAAATTACAAGGTAAGTGACTTTAAAGGTTTTTTTGGGTGAAACGCTACATTTTAGGGCAGGATCACCCATGTATATTATATTTACATTAATTTTAATAGATTCGTTCACAGAACAAATGTAATTCACTATGTTGTGTTATTGATTTTATTATAATACTTTCAAAACATTATCAGTACATTTTGACTGGTGGAAAGGTTTCTCTTGTGTAGAGAAAAAAATGCCTTTACCTATCTCATCTCCATGTATATACTCAGAAATGTGTGTGGGACAGAGCACTTAGATTTTGGTTGCTTTTCCTTTGATGGTTGTCATTTGCTTTCACTAATTTCTGTTACTAGCCAGTTTCTGAAAGAGCTTTTTTGCATCTTCCCTTCATCATAAATTTAGCCTTGATAACAAAGGATATAAAATGCAAACATCTTCACCTTATTCAGAACCAGTTTAAAATTAGAATTATAGGATCACTGAATGGGTTTGGTTGGAAAGGACCTTAAGATCATCTAGCTCCAACCCCCTGACATGGGCAGAGATGCCTTGCCCAAGGTTCTGTCACCTGGCCTTGAACACTGTCACGGGTGGAGCATTTACCACTTCTTAGTTCTCAGTAAGAAAAGTTACCTAGTTCCTATGTTCATTCAGTTGTTTTCTACCTTTTCCTGTCTTTTTGATCAGAACACTTCTATTTTTGGCACTTAATGAAGCATGTTACTTCTTAAATAAGTTGTTAAGGTTTGAAATCACCTCTAAGTATAGTGCCAGAGTAGAAGGCTTCACTTACAAATGCTTTGTAGGTGCGGATTGTATTTCTTTGAAGTACTCTGATCTTAAAAACCTCTTTTTACAGTTCTTGTTGTAGCTCCTTTTCCCTGCACACAGGAAGTATTTTGTATTAATGTGTGTAGTTATGTTCTCATACATTTCACTGCAGTGTGAATGATTTCTGGTTGCTATCACTTTGAGCACTTTCCCAACATCCTTTTAAATTTTGAACATTGTTTGAATATAATTTTTGCCTGAAAAAGAGTTGTGCTGTCCTGTATCAGTATCTTTCAGTGAGCTTTCTCCAGGCAGAAGTTAACCACCAACTGTAGCAGAAGCAGTTTCATATTCCAAAACCTTTACCTGAGTTCTATAGAATTAGTTGGGTATGCATTCAATGCAATTTGATAATGTTTTGGTTTGTACGTAGTTGTTTTGCATACACTAAACCCACATATATTTTCAATTTGTTGATAGAACTATGTTTGAAGAACTTAAATGATTTATCATCATTTGATTTGATCAGGATGGATGAAGAAAATAAATTCAAACCAACAGGTAACACCTTTTTAAAATAAACTGATTTTCAGCAGTGAACTACAACAGGTCACAACTTAATAGGACCCATTTATAATAAAAGTACAGAAATGTAGGAGAGAGTAGAATCTGAGAGATTGTTTGACTAGAATATACAAACAAGTTTCCTCAGCAGATCATGGAAGTTCATTCTCTTAATGTTTATCCAGGAACAGATCTCTTGTTGCTGGTAAATTTGCTGCAGACTGGGAGAAAATTACAGAAAATTATCACAGAATAGTTGAATGTGACACAGTGCAATGAAGGATGAGTTTATCAATACAGTCCTCTGCTAGAGGTGGTTGGCTTCTCAGCAACCACAGTTCACATTCTGGTGTATTAGTGTGAATTCATCTTCATCGGAGAAAACTGTACCTGGCACATGTTTCTTTCTGCCACTCTGTGATGGGGTCAGTAATGTCTATCAGGCAGCTGGGGGCAATAATATACTGAGTCAGTGGTGGTAAATGTCATAGACTCCTCTAATAAGAAAATCACTTTGATTTTGTGATTTTAAAAATACATGAAAAATATTTGGCATGTTTATTTTTTAAGGTATGTTCTTCTTTTACAGAGACTGGAAGATTAATGGCATGGTACTATATTGCATTTGATACAGTGAAACAGTTTTTCACAATTAAGGGAACAGAGACTTTAAATGAATTGGTAATTTAACTTTTCTAAGAAAATTTACATATGATCAATTGATTTTAAGCAGATTCAAAGATAAGCAGAAGTTTTAATTAAACAGCTCATGCTTTGTCTATGTAAACTCCTTTTGGAGTATTTTTGAGGCTTTCTACTCTTTGAGATCTTTTGCTTTCAAATTCTTTCTACCCTCACTTACCTTGCTTGTGAAGATAAAAGTTGCTGAAGCTGTTCTCTTTATGTGTCACTGTATTGTATTGTGGCTTAGTAGTTACCTTTTAGTGCCAAAACAAGCTGCATGGAGAGCACATTTTGCTTTTAAAGGAATGTTGCTGTCTTTCTGGTTTAAATAATTTTCCTATCTCAAAAAAGAGGTTGTTATTGCCACTGTTAAGTCACAAAAGACGTGTTGTTTTCATGCAAATACTATGGCAGAACAGATTGGTCATGAAAAAATGGAATTCCTTTTTTCCTCAGGAGACTGTTCTGTTATGAAAGTATGAAGAAAGTAAACTGAAATACATAAGAGGGCAAAAATTACTTACAGTTCCTTTATATGTCATGACGTGTTAGCTGTGTGTTTGATTCTGGATAACTTCAATTGGGATAGTAATATAAAACCAAAGAAGTCTTCCCATTTAATAGCCTTTATAGGAAGATGAAGTTGGTCAGTATTAGAATCAACTGAACTTCTTTCCATGGTATAGGGTTGACACAATAATGTTTTTTTAAAAGCTTTTTATTTTTAAAAAGAAGGTAATTGGAAGAAGTGGTAGAAAAAATGACAAAGAAAAAGAATGAATAAAAAAAGTTAAATTGTTACAGATTACAATGATCTGCAACTGCACAGAATTTCTGGATGTCAAGTTAAGAACTAATGAAAAGAAAATACTGAACACATTAAATAAAGACAAGGACAAAATAACTATCAGGTATAAAAAATAAGTACACTGAAAAGGAAAGTCTCTTTTTAGTAATAAATAAAATGAAGAGCAGAAAATCTATTTTCATTCGTAGGTTTCCAATGGAGGGGAAGATAAAAACGAGAGAAATGAAAATAAACTGGTAAATATGGTATTGTTTTGTTACTTCCCATTGAAAAACTGTCATTTTAGATGCTGAAATTTGCATCATTTGCATTTAATTGTTTCTATTCTGAATTGGTCTTAGTAGAAAGTTTTATGTTGTTATACTTTCCTTACAGTCTGGCTTATATACCAAAACAGTCTTTTTTTTTTCTTTTTTTTTAACAGTCTTATTCAGGCTCAGCTCGGATGCATTCCTATTCAAGACTTTACTTTGACACAAGATACTGGCAGAATATTTAGAAATGGCTTAAGAGTCACTAGATGTATGGTGAAATTTAAATCTTTTTTGGAACACATAATAATACGCTACATTTTAGTTGATTAATACAAGTCAATCTTCTTTTTACAGGGTTAACTGACTTTCTCGCATCATGCAAGGGCAACTTTTCTGCTTTATTAAACTCTTTGATTTTAGCAAAGTGTTTCAGATGCAGACTTTGGGAAAATTCACTTCATGTGTCTAAACAACTGGAAAAAATTGGTAGGTGGTAGTCACGTATTATAAGGGTGAATCCAATCGAAAATCAAGACTCAGAATTAGCCTGCTGATTTTTGAGTTGTCTGCATACATAATTGAGTCTCCTTACTACTTACTTTCCACAATTGAGTACCACAGTTGTCAGAATAGTCTGTCCTAAAAAGTAATGCATTCGGTAATCTTCCAGGCTTTCAAAGTATTTCAGAGTTGTTCTTCTTTCTTAATGTTCATCTCAGTATCTTGGGCATAGTCCACATTTCTGTGATTGCGTATCTCTAAATTATGCCTTTCTTTCCAAACAGTTTTCACTATAGGTCCTGTAACACATATGCATGAAAGCCTTTTAATTTATTTTGACCTGGATAGGAATCATGAAATAGAAATAGTTTACTGTGGAGGAGGTGCTTACACATGTGGATCACAAGTTTCTTCCTATCACTCTATTCAGTTAATAGATGAACTTCTGGCTGGAAGTAGAAATTTATCATAATTATTTGTGAAGGAGTTTGGAAATTTTGGAGTGCTCTGTATTACAAAAATGTAGTTATACTTGTTTGAGGTAATAGTATAGCTTCCTGATTTATGTCTGATCTTATAAATTCTTGCTTTTAGAATTCACTGCAGTGTTCTCTGTATTTCATCTGTGAAGACACATATGTTCTGTACAGAAGAGCACAGTACAGAGACCTGCAAATTAGAGAATAGCTAAACTGGAAGATCCGCATTGCACAGTACATTACAGCCTTGCCAGACCAGGTGCAGAAGCTATATAGCTTCATTCATGTGGATTCAAAGGAAGGGGCAGGGCTTGTTAGCTTGTGTGCAGTACTGTACAGCATGGTAGGAACCCATTTCCACCACTTCTGGATCTGTGCTGATGTGCACATAGTCATCTGGAGGGTCTGCCTCATGTTCAGCATTTCTGGGGGTTAGGATCAGTGGAACAAACATGGCACACACAGTGTAGTCAAATCCTTTCCTGTACACTATATTGAATAGAATAAAGACAGTTTATTTTTCTTAATAATAGAAGTGCTATACATACACATCTGTCCTGTTTTCTTTTTTTGGTATCATTGCTCTCCAGCATATGTTACAAAGAACTGCTGACTTTCAAAGTTCCATTTTTTCTGCTCACAGGCTTCTTGTGAACCATTGAAAGTTCACTCTCTTCTCCTGAATCAAATATTGAATAGATGCCTACATTAATATGTCTGATAAGCCTATTCTATGTCGTTATGAAGTTAACTGCTTGAGCACACAGAAATTTATTGAGAACATGTAACACATTCAGAAATTCTTGATTTCTAAACTCTTACCTCAATATGGGGTTTTTAATCTTAAAAAAGCCTTAGTAACCTGTATTTCTTTTATAAGAATGACTGTTCTTTAACTGAGATTTGGCCTTACTGAGGTTGAGGGTTTGGCTGAATCCTTACTGCTGTTAGTTTTGTCCAGTAATGATACTCCCTCTTGTTTGCTATGCTTGATTTCTGTTTGCTTATTCTGACAGACAGGTTAACAATCACTTACCATATAGGATTTTATCACCTTTGCTACTTATTCAGTTTGATTTCTGCTTCTATTTTTTTTTTCTTGCTCAGAAATAAAGGACAAAAAGAAAGTCTTACTGTGTTTCTTATTTTCTTCACTGGCAAAACCCATCTGCCATTTTAGGAATTACGATGAACTAGTATTCAACTTCATTTATAAAGAAACAAGGCAACAGCTTTAACTGAAGTAGCTGCAGTAGCTGAGACTCTTTGGACTGTTTTCAGAGCTTTGGCAAAGGAGAGGGGAGGTGGTAGAAGATGCTTTCCCTCAGTCAGAACCAAAACGTATTCAAATATAAGAGGACAAAAGGTCTTCTGTTTCTCAAATTTTTACATTCTTGAGTTGAAATGAGTCTTTTCTTGTAAGATTGCAGTAATGTCTTCCAAGAAGCAACTTAAAAGCCTTTTGAGAGGTTTCCCAATTAATTTCCAGATCTCTTTGACTATTCCTACAGAATTACATGTGAAGAATCCACATACTCATTCTTTTATCTAAAATTATTGTAGTTATTCTAGTTATTGTAGAAGGCTGTAGTGTCAGGTTAGGTAAATGCCTTCTTCTATGCTGCGATGACTTTAAATCTCACTGGAAGTTTGAAAGAACTGGGAATCGTGGAAAGAGGAACAAGATTGTATGGAATTCTCTGCCAGTTTGCTTTTGTGGTAGATATGTCAGAGGAAAAATTTTTGATATATCTGCAAAGACTCCTAAAAGATTATAAGTACTTATTTTTAGTGTATTTTATTATTAGCTTGCTCAAAAACATTGAGATCCTTATGACTTTTAACACAGGTAAATAATTCCGTACGTAGGGAAAAATATTCTGTGACAATGTTGTGTGATGTGTTTTTTTTCCATCTTATCTATGTAGAACATGTTTCTGGATCTTGCAGAAAGTGATCTAAAATCCAGTTTACTCTAGAAAGTGTATCTTAAAGTTGTCAGTTTTGAAATAGTCAATGTTTTCATGTTTGATTTATATTGCATTTATTTTTACTAATGGATAAGAGAAATGATACTGAAAGCAATCAACTGGAAAAAAGTTTAGTGATTTACTGGGCAAAAAGCTGGGACAAATATACTATTAAGTGATTTCTGCTTTGGTTTTACCTGCTATAATGAAGCTGTTGGGAGCAATTTGAGGTTAGTGATTGTCATTTAACAGCATAAAACTTCAATTTTTCCCAGGTGTATCACTTGCAAACGCTATGGTGAATGCTGGGCTGACATCATTTAAAAAAATAGAAGAAACAAATGCAAGGGAACTTGAATTGGTAATTGATTATTTTGTATGAAAATAAGTATAAGGAAAATAATGAGTATTAATACTGTTACCAGTAAAAGTGGTATGGTTAATATATATCTACTATATGATTCTTAGCAAAATTGAGTGGTTTAGAATAATAGACTCATAGAATAGTTTGGGTTGGAAGGGACTTCAAAGCTCATCTAGTCCAACTCCCCTGCAGTGAGCACGGACATCTTAAACTAGATAAGGTTGCGAGAATCACATCCACCCTGGCCTTGAATTTGCTTATACTCGTGAATTAGAAACTTACGTGGCTACTGCTGTTTTTCCTTGAAAATACCTATGATGTTTTATTGTAGCAAATTAAATGATTTCACTGATTTGGCTAGGTTTGGAAAACAATTGCTTAAATCTGTAGAATTTCATCATTATATGATTTGAAACAAAAGACAATATGCATTTCCCTTTTACAAGTGTTAGAAAGGGAATATATATATTTAAAATTTGTCTTCATGTATGTTAATTGAGAATCCTGAATTTCCATTACTGATAGTTTTAGTTAAAGATAGTCATAAAACAAAGTTCTTCTCAATCGCTTATAAAGTGACCCCAGGACAACTTCTTTAGCTTTTGGCTTCTTTTCCGAGGAAACTCTTTTTCCAGTGTTCTTGAAGATAAAACAGATTTCTAAAGGAAATCAATCTTACTTGGGTTTTTCTGTTTTGGCTTTAGGAATCTGAGTTCTCTTTTCTGCCTCCTTCTGCAGTCTTCCTGTCATTTATTTTGTTTTGATAAAAACTAGGGCAACATAAAAGAGTCACCTCATATAAAACCTGAGTAGTCAGGTTTTGAGGTTATTGGCTAATTCATTGCCTGTTACCTGAAGAGCAGTGGTAGCAACAAGAAAAATACTGAAATTTTCTTTTGGTTCTGTTGCTACTCTGGGAACTGCTGACAGGAAAGAGCCAGGAATGATAAGGGCTTTTGTTGATAGTATAACTACTCTGGTGACTTTTATTCCTTGCATTTACATTTCTCCTGACATCTCTGTTCAGCTGAATGTATCAGAAATGAAATTAAATCTTTGCAGATTTTAAACAGACATCCTCCTTTTGGAAACCAGATAAAAGAATCTGTTTTGCACCTTCCAAAATATGAACTTGACATTGAACAGGTAAATGCTTTTCTACTTAGTTTATTTTTATGCTTATATTATTAAATGAAAGAGCATGATATTATTAAATGAAAGAGCAAATATTGACTTAAAGAAGTTTTGAGCCTCTGCTGATAGAAGATAACACAATATTAAGGCCTCTGTCCACCTTAGTGTGTATAATCAAATTCTTAAATATTGAAGGAGAGCCTTGGAATAGACATTCCGTGTAATACATTGACCTCCCTCTCTCATTAATAGCATTTTATGTTCCAGATGCGAACCAGTATGTTCCACATTCTAGCATTATATGTAAGCCTAAGAGTTCTCTTCTGTCTTAATGATAAATCCTAGAGACAGAAAAAGCATCCATATAAAAGTTACTGAAGAAGCATTAACTGATGTTTATTTTCAATGTCACATGTAGGAACACAGAGAAACACTAAATGCTTACACTAAATTCAATGATACCCTTTCAAAGGAAGGGTGTAGTTCTATGTGCAGCCAAGAGCTTTGCGGTTTTGATGCTCATTTTGTCTTTAAACAGATCACACAGCCATGCTACCTTTCTGAAATGCGAGATTTGAAACATAGCCTTAAAGCGTCTCATGAAGATACCCTTGAAGTTAAAAACTCAATAATGTGTGAAATCCTATTGTTGTAACAATCAGTTCTATTTTAGTTTGTCATTTGACATAATACCAGATGAGTATCTTTAAAGTTATTCTCAGAAGGAAGATTTAGCAGTTAAAGGTATCTTTTAGAGGAATGTTGTGATGTCAAAACACACCTAGGTTTTCTTCTTGTATCTTTCTGTTTGCATTGAACAGAGGAGAATTTTTTTAAGGGCTTAACGTAGACTGTCTTTTACTCTCAATACTTAATCAAATTTAGAATATTCAGCTATGGGCAAGTTAGTACTGTATAACAATGTCTCAGAACAACAAATGAACATTGTAGCATAAATTGAAATTGCTTGAGTCGAGACTGTTTGTATCAACAGTTAAAAATCTATGGTAGAGCATATACTTTGCATGTTTTAGTAGTTATGTCTTCTTCTATATCACTTTTTCCTAGCTTCCAAAATACAGTGATACATTGGCTGAAATCTTAGTAACCATCAGATTAACGAACTATGAGCAGCTACAAATAAAGAGAACAGCAACAGACTTCCACTATGTTACATTGGTTATAGGAGATGCTGACAACCAAGTCATTTTTAATCAGAAAATTATGTATGTATTATCAGGGGGGTTTACCTTACATCTTTTAAGGTTGTTGACTTTTAATCCTTACTGTGATTCGTGAGTTTTCCAATACTTTGTATTGATGATAAATGGTACAAAATCACTCTTTATCCTACAGAATTTTTTAGTCAGTGTTGTCATTTAAAATGCTGCACAAGATTCAAAAACCATCAAAACATGCCAGTGTGTTTGTCACAGAGTATGTGTATCTGTACAAGACTGATGTCATATTATGGAAGTCATAATAATTTCCATATCAATATAAACCATAAATACAAGCCTATTTAAAAAACAACTTCTCAATTTGTTACTTCCTCTTCATAGCTATATTTCTTTAATTATATCATATTGTCAAAGTTGTTTCATTCAGAGATGGAATTAAATTCTCCAGCTGGCTTAAGGTTTGCTTGGAGGAAATGGGAAAGGAGAAACAAAACCTTTTCCAACTGTGTGACCTTCACATGAGTTCTGGCTGAAGTATGGCACTTTTGGCAGAACTGAAACTTACCTGCAGGATTCTGGCTTTCTTATGACCATAGATTGTATATTATTGGAAGGTTATTTTTAGGCCACTTAGCAAGCAAAATCCAAGAACTAAGACCAAAGAAAGGCTCTTTCATTTAGTTACAGATAGCATAGTATACAATCATGTTTTCACTGTCCATGCCTAACAAAACTTCACTGATACATTACAGGGATTCTGTGCTGCTGAAAACTGGCAATTGGACAAAGAAAATTGAAGTGAAAAGAGCTCTTAAATCAGAGGAAATTAGTATAAATTTAATTAGTTCTGATTATGGTAGGTTGGTTGATATGCTTTTAATTTGAAAACAACTGCATAACATTTTGAATAAATGATTAAAACACTTTATAACAAGCCAAAAATTACAATAAAATGAACTGATCTGGAAACAAAATTATATTACATGAGTATTACCTAACAGTCCTAGTTACATATCTGTTTCATTTATTAGTGCATTAATGAACTGGGAAACATCAAAACTGTTACTGGGAGATAATATTTTACTCTGATACAGATTAGGATTCTCTTTTGCCCTTTGCCTTTAAGTTGAATTAACTTTCAGTTGGGATAACCTATCATTTTGATAAGTTATTTATGCTGGGAGGAGCTGTCTTTGTGAACGGTTAGGTTTTGCAATGTGATAGAAAAAGTATTAAATATGGGTTCATCTTCACTTTAATAGTAAGACAGTTCTACAGTGGAAAATTTTGTCCTTTAACGTGTGTAGATTTAAACACAGGTCCCCTCAGTGTCAATCACCATTATACTGGCAGTGTAAAGCCATAGATAAATGTAGTTTTAAAACAATACAGAGAAAAAAAAATCTGTTAAAGGGACTAATTTTGTTACTTGTCTAGTAACCATGTTTTTAATTCTGAAAATGTTCGGGTTTTTTTAGTCTAGATCGAAAGAATCCATTCATATAATAGTGTGCTTTTAATGGTACATTACCTTAATAAATCTCCATGATCCTTTAATAGCATTTATACTCTTTACAAAACTGAAAGTAATCAGTAGTTTAGAAATAGCTTAGAGCGATTTTAAATATTTTTGTCTTTTTCTTTTTTTTCTAAAGTTGGCCTTGATATACAGCAAGCATATACAGCCTTTTACTTAACACCAAAACCAGTGGGAAGTAAGGTGGTTACAAATCAAAACCTTCAGGCCAAGTCTTCACTTGATACATGTTACGGCTCACCTCAGAGTCTGTCAGCAGCAAAAGTAGATACAGGTAAACAGTCAGATCATAACATCTGGCTAATACCAAAATCAACAAAAAATTGAGGTTTGCTTTCAGTCGAGAGCTACATCTTTACCCACACTGTTTCTTTCAGAAGTATAACAGAAATACAGTGGCACTGCTTCCACTTGTCAAGTGCTGCAGTGCAAGTCTTTCATGAAAATAAGAAGAATTAAGTATTTGGTATTTAATATTATCACTGAATGTGGGAATATGTACTGCCTTTGTCAGTACCACTGATTAATATTAATATTATTTGAGCAGCCCAAAGTTTTGTTGAAGGCAACAAAATTCTAGTGACCCAGATTACTTCTAGCCTGTCTTTTACTGCCTGAAGCACTCTCTCAAAAATACATATGAAATAAAAAATGAGCATTTCTGTATGTATGTAGGAGACAAATCTAAACAAGGGATTACTTACAAGAAATACGGAAACAGAGAATGCAACCACCGCTGTAAAAACAAAGATGTGTGTGGACATGACTGCTGTGAGTTTCCTTAAATCTACTATTTCTGTTAATTTTTGACAAATATAATTTAGAATAGCTTAATTTACAGCAACAGCTATATTAACAGAAGCAATGTGTTGAGTCAGGCCTCAGCTGCTGTTATCATGCAGTCATACAAGCACGAATAACAACTTTTGTCTTTTACACTTTTATAGGAACTACATAATTAATAATACCTTTCAGAACATGCAGCATCTTATTAAAGAGCAACGTAAAGCCTGTTACACTTTTATATAAATATTGGCGTGTTACATCTTTTAAGATCTTTTATTAGAACATACTAAGCTTAGTGGCAAAGCTCCCATTTATCTGGGAAGAATTAGGATTTATCACTTCTAAATTAATCTGAACATTATTTTAATCCCTTTTCTTCTTAGGTAAAATTGGAGTACCTCCAAAGTCTGAGATGAATGGAGATGCAAAGTTTTCTTTGTACCTAGCTGATTTAAGGAGCAGGAACTCAATTTCATGTGTACCCCCAGTAAAACGTTTAAAGGTTCATTTGAATACAGTCAGCCATTGAATAGATTTCTTTTAATCTGTTATGTATTTGTATGTATTGTTTGCAGAGAGAATTTTATAACTAAATATGAACACTCACGTTTGTCTTTTCTGTGTGGAATACAAAAAGCAAAGTACAAAGGTACCAAATGTCTAGGAATCTTTGAGAGGTTCTGTTGCTGTTTGGAATACTTTAAATGACCCACTTCTGTACATGTACTCTTTGGTTTTACTTGTATTGCATTTGATATATTGTGGTGGGTGAGGTGCAGAGGCATCACTGGAAGGTACTGTACTCTGACTTGGTTTGGGCCAAATATGACCTGAATGAAAATAAATAGTTGTATTTATCAGAGTAATGCTACAATGAGATCTTTTTGCATTGACAGGTAAATACACCTATTATAAAAAAAACAACCATGTTAGTTTTTAACCTCTGAAGGTTTTTATGGGTTACACTTTTTCCCTTTGAAAGTATTAAACTAGTTCTTTCTGCAACAAGAATGGCATTTGAGGTATTGGAGTGTTTTATTTCCTCCTCAGTTTTGTTTGCTTGTTTGTTTGCAATAGAGAATGATATAGCCTGTAGCTAATACAGTTGAGTTAGTGATAATCAGTCTGACTTTGCCATGGTACTTGGATACCTCCAGTAGACACAAGTAATTCAAACCTTTTTAACTGATTATGTTAGATAAGCAAACATCAGATTTTACATATGATCTTTAAAAATTATGTTAACTTCATACAGTATTAATGATGTCATTAAAGTTGTTAGAAACCAATGGTTTTCAATATCTTTACATCTTACCAGTTACAATAATCTGCTTTCTTTAGATGCAGATGTTAAATCAAACTGTGGATCTCAAGCAATTTGTTTTTACACCTAAATCTTCATTGCCGGCATTGCTGAGGTACTGATTAACATAAGTAACAAAAGAAAACTGCCTTATTTTAGGTAATATTAAGTTGTAACAACTAAAACCTGTTCTCTGACTAAAACTATTTTGCAATTTTCTGCTACTGTTTTACTGGCATGTCAGTTATTTCTTCCTTTTATTTTAATAGGTCTAGCAATGGACAGTCATCTTCATTACCTTCAGTGGACCAGGCAGATAATATTAATAGCTTAGGGGGATTTCAGAAACAACTGCAATCCTGGAACTATGGGAAAAGTAGTAAGTTATTGCTAATGTTTGAAATTACGATTTTTTACTGTTTTGATTTGAATGCATTTGTAAATTCAAACTTGCTGAAATCACTACGACAACCACTATAACATTATAGAACACTGAATGTATAGGGGAGATATAGTGGTCTTAATTGGGTTTCTTTCTGGTATTGCTAAGAATTTCTAATGTGTATCTAAGTGTCTAAATGTACCTTTAAATAAAACAGTAATGACTAGATCAAAGATATGAAGTTCTAAATCTATAATATTTCCTGAAAGGTATGACTGTAATATATTTCCACTGAAGCCACTTGTAATACAAGAAGTATTTTACCACTATATGTATATATTTTCTTCTTTTCCCTTTCTGCTGGAAGAAGTGCTTTTGTTTGGTAGTTGATAAAATGTGACCATTCAGTAACTGAGTTTATAATTAGTGAAACATCCTTATCTGGAAAAAAATTTCTATTTCTTCTCCACTGGAAAGGCCACAAATCTTCTTACACATGCTGTTAAATGATTTGTCTTCATTATCAGTATATAACTGTGATGTTCTCACTGCATGCCTTTTGCCTTTGTATTTGGTGACAGCAGATCTGTGTGAACGAAGCTTTGATTAATTTGGCTATTAAATAGCAGTTCCAATGTTTAAGTCATACTCAGACATATAAGAAACACTATGCTGAAATGAATGGAATCTTTTTTTTAGTCTGTACTGCTTTGAGTGTTGGCAGCTATACTGCGTAATTTTAACATCCTTGTCAACAAGGACAATGGGATTGAGCGCACCCTCAGCACGTTTTATGACAACACCAAGCTGTGTGGTACAGTCAACACTCTGGAGGGGATGTGGAAGGGATGCCATTCTATGGTTCTGTAATTTCATTTTTGCTTAATATTTTGACAATGGGATTGTAATCCTATTTCTTTAATGCTTCATATTTTCCTGCAATACTAATTTACCTGCTATAGTTGTTCTCATCTTAAGATGGAAGACTGTTGCATAGGTGTATCATGGTTTGCTAGGGGGAGAGAGCAGGGTGTTAATGTATCATATGATTGTGTTAAAAGAATAAAGTCATGGGATGACCAATGGATATTCCAGTATAGCTATAGTCTGTGCTAAAGAACATCTTGAGGCAAATCATACAGGATCAAGGGAATGTAGAAGATACTGCTGACTAAAAACCACCTCTGTTGAATAAGCAGCAGAAAAGCCAGCCTTGGCCAGAATGATTGGGCTGGCTGGATTTTACAGAAACGCACCAAAAATAGTTCTAATAAAGGCATCAGTTTATGTGATTTTTATAGGGTTAACTGCATCTGTAATACACTATCTTTCCATTTCATAAAAAAAAAAAAAAAAAGAGAAAGGTAATTAAGAATATACAGTGAAATTGTAGTAACCTAAATACATAATTTAAAGTCTGTGTAACTGCAGTAATGCACTATGCTGACTGTGCACATCCCAAATGACAATGGCAGTCCCTTCATGTTGTTGCCAATGTCTCTGGAACAGGATTTCTGATTTGAGCCTGTCCTGCTACCCCTCTGTTGAAAGGGAGACCTGGATCAGGATTTTTTAGGCAAATTAGGGCCATGGCAACAGAATGAAGTTTCCACCACTGTCTGATGCTGGAGGGTAGTTTGGCAAAAGAAAGATGAAAAAAATAGCAGAGAGAATGGCACTGGTGATGAAAAGAAATAACACAACATAAGGGAAAGAGTTAAAGGAGATAGAAAAGTCATGTTTGCAACAGAAAAAGTATTTTAAAATATTAACTCACATCTTAATTACAAATTTTAACAACAATGCTTGAAAAAGTGTTTGTCATGGTTGTTCTTGGGCATTAGATCTGTGTGGAGGAAGAGAGCATTCAGTGTGTTGAAAACTGGACAGAAGGATGGACTGAATTAAAAGTACTAAGTTTGGAATCAAGCAATGCTTCTGACAAAGGCACAGAATGATATAGCAGTGGTTTTCCTAGAATCTACACTGAGGGTGACTTTTCTCAAAACAATGCTGAGAAAAGTTGCATATATTACAATCCTCCTATCAATAGGTTGAGCAAGTGGTCGTAAACCAGACAGGTTTTGTTGTACTTGTCCATTACAAATATATTACAGCTTTTCCTTGGGAACGTTCAGTGTTTGAGTGTGAGAAAAGCTGAGACAATGGAATTAAAAAAAAAAAAAATTCAATCTTTAATGTGTAACTTGATGGATGCAGATAAAAGCACATCTTGTTTTTCAGATGCTTTCGATGTGGACTTTGAACTGCAGGCTGATGTTTGGGATGATATTGATGATGAGAAATTAGTATATGCTAGCAATTTTGACAGTAGAGATATAGGTATGGTTTACAAAATTCTTTGTTTCCTATGTAGAAATTATTTTACAGGCTATTATTTCAGAATAATTTATTACAGTACACAGTGAAGACAACTACCTGAATTTTTTTGGTTAGTTGACTTTACCACCAGGTTTGTTACTCTCCCTTCAATATCATCTATATTGAGATAAATGTAATACATAAGGGAGAGTTGAGAAAATAATAATGAAATATCTTTTGGATGGCCTGCAACTGCATAGTTGTTATTTTATTTGACTGCTTATCTCTGCTATTTTTTCATTAGCTTAAAACCTACAGAAGAAATATTTCAAGTGTTAAGGCATTTGTATAATTTTCAACCTATTATTTATCATATTATTTAAGATATTTACAGGGGGTTTCAGCTGGTTTGTGACTCTGGTTTTAAACTTTCATTCTTACATGGAACATGGAAATATCTGCCTTTAAATTCCAGATGAGTGTGAACCAATTGGACAGTATACAAGAAGCAAAGCCACAAATGACATTTCAAACCAGTAAGCATTATTATTTATTACCATTTTATTTAGTTAAAAATATTGTTTGTATTTCACATGTAGCTTTATAATTAAATGTAGAGAAGGATCCTCACTCATAAAACTGAGTGGAATTTCAGCTTTTAAAAGGCAGGAATTGTTGAATGATTTGATTTTTCTTTTTTTCCCTGTTTAAGTGTGAAGGGAAATAAATAGAAAATTCTGAACTGAAAAGTAAATAATACTTTTATTATTCAATTGGTATTTTCAGTTCATGCACGTTACAAGATGAGACCAGTGTTCAGAACTCCACTGTTTCTGTGGTTAATAGCCCATCAAAAGTGAATTTATCTGCACAGCATGGAAATATAAATATGGTGAGTAAAAATACTTTTTATAAGAGAATTTCCTATAATTTCCTAGGTGTAAATATATTTACCACAGCTGACTTCTAAGTCAGCTTGGACATAATGAATTTCTGAACCTTTGTGTTGTCCAGATATGCATGCATGCTGTGTTCAGTATAGTATAAATATCTGTACTGCATACTACAGCAGTCTACTAGTTTCTCTTCTGGATTGTTATTTTAACCAGATGCACTTTTCACCATTTACCCTGCAGTTCAGTTTTCAAGAGAAAAACTGTTCAAATCTTTCACAAGAGCTGAAAACCGCACAATGTTCTTCCATCTCAAAAAAGATCCCAGACTCTTCTAAATTCACTAGGAAAGAAGATTTCTTTATTTTCACAGAACGTGAAAAGGAAGCAGATCCCAGGTAATAAAAAGTTGTGTTCTTCTGTTGCCTCAGTGTTCCAATGCTTAGTTCCTCATGGAACACAGACTTTTAGGCAATGTGTTAATGTATAACCTTAATTTTATAAAGATGAATTTTCATAGTAATAGAGGCAATTAACTTTTTTTTAGAAAGGAAATACTTTAAAATTATTTTGCTTGTCCTGATATTTCTTGACTATTCTTTGTATAGTGTTCCTGATTACATAGGTTTTGATGTACTATATGTTTTTGTTTGCTTCATCTTCATTAGATACCTTCTTGATGATGAAATCAATGATGTCAAGCCCTTTCTTGGTATATTTGATGGCATTTTGTAAAACATATAAACCAAAATACATTGTAAGAGTTGGGGAAAGAAGTTACAGTCATCTTTACAGAGGGAATCCTTCAAATCCAGTTAAGTGAATGATCTCTGTTGTATGCCACATAGTAGATGATAACACAACTGATGTAAAATTTATGCAATTCTAGGTATATTATCTTGTTTTGAAATGTACTTAAATACTCATTTGTTGGCTTTGCTGTTTTTAAGAAAATACTGGAATGTGTCACAGGAGAATAGTTTTCAAACTGAGGGTGCTGTTATAAAGTGAAAAACACATAAGGGGAAGTGAGCTGTATATGACATGCCCTGCTTACAAGTACACTTTAAATGAATGAAAGGCTCTTTCCTCAGAAATTTCTTAATGCCTTTTAGTGTTGTCTTTCAGTTTCTCTAATGCTGATTTTGTTCATAGCAGTGTTTCTGTAAAAATAATTAGATTTACAAATAAAAGGAACAGAATGGTAAGCTACTCTAGACTTCTGACATTCTAAAACGTCTACAAACAATACTCAGAAGTTGTGTTTGCCTGTGCACTTTCACACCAAAGGTCATAAAATGGACATTTATGCATCTTAGTACAGTTTTAGGCAACCAAGCATTGGATTTAGTTATCTAATTGTAACTCTATTTTTTGAACAGTAGACCTTGCAAGTTCAATAGTTAGAAAAATATGTGATATTGCCTAAAGTCCAAGAAACTGCTAATTTTCACTGTTAATTATTCAAAATGTATGGAATTAAAATGTTAAAATCATGCCTGCAACTTTAGTTGTCTGTTCTTGCAACCAAATGCAATGTTATTTTGCCGTACTATGTGGTTGTATCTTTCTCAGTTAATAACATTTTACTTGACTCTGATGTTTCCTTACACTTTTTACTCTCTCCATATGAAAGCATGGCCTAGCATAAGCAGCATCAGCACCCACCACTTGGTATGGTTTTAACTGCACAAATTCCAACAGACCAAAGCTTTAACTCACTTTACTGTACTTCAAATATTTCATTGCATCTGAAAGTTTGCAGTATGTCAGATCTCTTTTTGTCTCAATTGTTTTTTACATTAAACTTCCAAACTAAAGTATTTCTACTATGTTTAGCCCTGCAGTCCTAGTCATATACTTCCTAGTCACCTCCCAGTTCTGTGTTAGAGTGAGGATTTAAGAATGCAAAGTGCCAAAGGTCATTTTAGGTGACCCAGAGAATCTTCCCTCGGCTCCATATACAGTGCCAGATATGTTCCAGATCTTCTAGGGCATCTAAAATGTACTGGATGCTAATGTTTAAATACCTGATTCTCTCCCTGCTACTTGAAATACGTGGGTTGTTTTTTTTTTAAATGTATAGTTTATATTTACATGGCATTCTTTAACTGCCTTTGTATCCTGCCTTTCCCCGGCCTTTTAGCTTGCAACAACTAACTGAGCAGTTCCTCAGTTTCTTCATGTTGGCCAAAAGCTTTTACACAGCAACACAAGGCTGAGCTTCAAACATGGGAAAGAGAAGAGGAAGGAAGCAATTAATGTAATCTTGAGATTATATATCATTTATATCATATTGTCATTATACAACTTGCAACTTTCCAAAACCTTACTCAACTGCTGGTTGCTCAGGCCTCACCTGCAGACTGGGAGAACTTCTGATGGCAGGTGCTGCACCTTTTCCTGCTGCTCTGCATGAAGCTCCTTCTAAAGGTTCTTGAGCTGCGAGGCAGAAACTAGTGGAGGTTGATTGTGCTTAGGTCTTTATAAAAATGAGTAAGGTAAGCTTCATTTACTTCTCTGTACTAAAGAAGCATCTCTTTGAGGGTTTTTTTTTGGCCCCATTACTACACTGAAGGTGTATTTCCATTTTTCTGTGAGATATTTTTGTAGTTTATGTAATGTCTAAAAAGTAATTGATATTATTGCCATTTTTGGCCTTTTTTTTTTTTTTTGTATAGTCTAAATATAACCACTTGGCTTTAGTTACTTTATAGGAACAGGTTTATATCTATACTACTCCAAAGAAAATGACCCTTGCAGGCAGGTATTATATTTTTCTCTTATTTTTCCCCAGTGCAGGAGTTCAGAAGTTATTACTGAGGTACTTCAACATTCAGACTGATAAAGTTTCTGATACCGTATTTTAAAAGGCTTTAATTTTCAATTTGACCCATAGTCAGAACACATGATAACAGAAGAATTTCAGTACTTTTGAGACTATTCAGAGCACTTTGCAGATGGTTTATCGGGTCGTTTCCTGTCTCTGTTTTTCACTAGAAATCCACAGCCTGTATTATCCTTGGAAAATTACAAACTTCTTCTATTGCTGCTGACAGCATTTCACAGATTTCAGACTATAAATCTTTCAATACTGCTATGTCTTTACAGGAACACTGAACCTCTGGTGCAAAAAACATTTTTCTAGAGATAAGGGCTTTATTGGGCACTGTTGTTTCTCTTTATTATTCATATTAGCTCTATGACTCTTTAATTCACTTTCAGAGAACCAATTTGGAAGTACTTAAATGCTGAAGTTTTCTTTATCTCAGGAAAAGGAATGACTGTTCATATGGCAGCATTTGTTATTGTTCCAGTTTTCAAATCATAATAATTCAAAGATCAAAAGTGATAATCATAGTAGGTCTCTATAGCAACAATTACTTGCAGATACACAATGACAATACCTCAAAACAAATACAGGCAGAAAAAGCAAACTGACTACAAAATTAGAAAAA